AATCTTTGGCGCAAGCGTGCGCGTGTGACGAGCCAAGCGTTGCAGCGGGAGCGGGCTGGGCCAAGAGCAGCGGCGACGACGGGGAAGCGCCGCGTTGGACGCGGCTAGAGGGCCTGAGCTGGCTGGGAACGAGAAGATATGGGATAATAGGGGGAGAGGAAACAATTCCTCTCAAGATCAGTCCCTGGACACCTCATGGGGCTCCATCTGGTGAAGTGTTGTTCACCCGGATCCGCGTTTGATGGTCCTGGGGCCCGAAAACGGCCCCCGGAGACCGAAAAGGTCGACTACCTTGTCGAACCCAGCGCCTCGAACCTGCACTGCACCCCTCTCCTGCTGGCTGGAACCAGGGCGAGCCCACCTCGGACCCCAGCCCGTTCGGATCATCATTTTTCCTCTCTGCCTCTCTGTCTCCTGCTCTCTACATCTCGATCTCTATCTCCCTCTCTCTCTCTATTTTTCTGCATGTCTGTACCGAGTTGGCCGGCCTTACAGCAGCGGCGCTGTCTGGACTGACGCAAGTACTGAACATGAAATCTAAAACGTCCTTTAGAGCGATTGCCTCGGCCGAGAAAGACGAAATGGGTTTACGAATGTACCGGCCAGCCACACACACTGGATGCGAGCTCCACCCCATAGGCCTGCGAGTCTGCACTTCGACGTGCCATGCCGCTGCGGAACAAGATGCTCGCCGAGTGCCCCCGTCGCTGCTTACCCATAGTGTTTGTTGCATTTTGAACTGTAAGACGCTCACAAGAAGGAAGGTGGGACATCTGTGGCAACAAGACGTTCGTGGGGAAGCCAAACGGTCCCGATACCGCTACTCCCCGGACCTCTCCTGGGGTGCGCTCTGACTAGAATTTCAAGGCGAATCCAACAATGGCGACGAGGGCCTCCGAAGAGGCCAAAAAAGGAGAGAACGGGAGAGGAGTAGAGGTATGGGTACGTTTTTCTCCAGAGGTGCCCTGTCATGGGTGGGGGAGACGCATGCTGACGCTGCCAATGGGGCCTTCGGTGCAACTCCCTAGGGGGCTACGACACGATGCACTGGGCGGAGAGGAGGGGGGGCATGCGACCGTGGCCACAAGGGTCTTCGGTGGAGCTCCCTTGGGGGGCAACGGAGAACTGTACTGGGTCGGGCGCGCGAAAACGATCGCGGCCACAAGGGTCTTCGGTGGAGCTCCGTGTGGGGCCACGAAGCGCTGTACTGGGCGGGGGAGACGCGTGCGAACGCGGCCACTGGAGCGTGCGGTGGAGGTCCATATGGAGCCTTGAAGCGCTGTACTGGACGGGGGGAGACACATTGGAAAGAAGGCCACAAGGCCCTTCGGTGGAGATCCCTCTGGGGCCACGGAACGCTGTACTGGGTAGCGCGGACGCATGCGAACGCTGCCGCCAAGGCCTTCGGTGGACCTCCCCTTATGGGGCCGCGAAGCGCTGTTCTGGGTGGCGCGAAAACACGTAAACGCGGCAACAAGGGCCTTCGGTGGAGATCCCTATGGGGCTACAAAGCGCTTTTTCTAGGTGGCGCGAACTCACGCGGACGCGGCAATTGGGGCCTTCGATGCAGCTCCCTATGGGGCAACGAAACGCTCTACTCGGTGGCGCGGACGCATGCGAACGTCGCCGTTGGGGCAGTGGGTAGAGCTCCGTATGGGGCCACGAAACGCTTAAACGCTTGACTGAGTCGCACGGACGCATGCGAATGTCGCCGTTGGGGCAGTCGGTGGAGCTCCCTATGGGGCCACAGCACGCTGCACCTGGTTGCGCGGACGCATGCGATCGTCGCCTTTGGGGCGTTCGGTGGAGCTCCCCATGGGGCCCCGAAACGTTGTACTGCGTGACGCGGACGCATACGAACGCAGCCACTGGGACCTGCGGTTGAGCTCCCCTTGGGGCCACGAAGCGCTGTACGTACTGTGTGTCGCGGACGGACGCGAACGCGGCCACTGGGGCCATCGGTGGAGACGAATCGCTGTACTGGGTGGGGAAGGCGCATGCGACCGCGGCCAGAAGGGCCTTCGGAGGAGCTCCGTATGGGGCCACGATGCGCTGTGGGGGAGACGCATGCGAACGCGGCCACGGGAGCGTGCGGTGGAGCTCCCTATGTGGACACAAATCGCTGTACTGGGCGAGGGAACCGCATGGAGAAGAAGGCCACTAGGCCTTCGGTGGAGCTCCCAACAGGGTCACGAAACGCCTGAGCGGTGTGCCGAAATGGATGGTACACTAAGGGCGGAGGCAGGGATGGGAGGAAGGAGGAGGAGTAGGAGAGGAGAGTAGAGGAGACGGGGGGCGCTGTCTGTTCAAGACGAGGACCCAACAGCACAGGATGGTTGAGAACAGCAATGGGTCCACGCTCCCAACTAAAAGGCAATGGGTCCAGGCTCTCGAGTCTCCAAGGCGTCCGAAGCAGGGCACCAAGGCCGGCAAGATTGGCAACAATGCGTCCAAGAGGTCCCCGAATGCCCCAAGCCGGCCAACTATTCCCCCAGTGGTCCCAAGCAGGCCACAGAGAGTCTCAAGACGACCCAATCGGACCCCAAGACGGCCCAAAGGCGGCCACGAGGGGACAAGAGCGCCCGAAGAGGTCAAACGCCAGTATGGCCTCAGGGCCAAGAGGACCCCCGCCTTGACCAAATAACCCTCTGGCCCATCAGGGCCTTCGGAAGACTTGGAGAGGCAACTCGACGGTCCAAGACGACCCAAAGGCAGCCCCACGAAGGACCCCAGAGACCCCCTAGGCAGCCAAGATGGCCCCAAGGCAGACCCAAGAGGCTCCCTAGACAGCCAGGATGCCCCCAAAGCGGACCAAATATACCCACTTGACAACCGAGAGGCCCCAAGACGGCCCAGGGGGCTCCAAGACTGACCCACAGGAGCCCAAGAAAGGAAGGAAAACAGGAATGAAGACGACGAAGACGAGAAGATACCCCCCCACACCACGCGGAACTATGCGTCACGTGTTACGGCCCTCAGCAAACTCAGAAACAAGGCGTCAAACCTCACGGCCCCCTGTGCGACCCCCGAACTGTCGCCACCCAAAATGCTGGGCTGGCGTGATGCCGGGCTCTGTCGTACTCAACTGGATAACTCGGGAATCCGTGAGAACATGTGGACCTGGAGGACGCATCAAGCGCCGCGGCCATTCGAGAGCACCCCAGCACGCTCGGGAATGACTCATGCCCGTCCTTGGCCTGCCCGATTGCGTCCAGGGCCTCGAGGGGCACGCCTCGGAAGCTGGGCGAGGGCTGGCAAGTCCGTGGCTGCTAAAACAGTTTTCCAGGAAGAAAAAAACAAAATTCTGGAACATGACTCAGCGCGCCAAAGAGCTAACGGGCTGATTTCCGAAAGAAAAGAATGGTTTCCCGGAGCTCCGTTTTAGCAGCCACGGGTTTGCCAGCCTTCCCCTGGCTTCGGAACACCAGTGGGCGGGCGCGTGCCAGATGATGACAGAGATCTGTCCTTTTTGGCGCAGCGCACACGCCTGGCTTCGCCCGCGGTTCGCTGTGCATCCTCGCACCTTCTGGGCGGCGAGACGAGGGGGCAAGTGGTAATGGGGCAGGTCCTCTCGGGAGGGAGGAGGAGGAGGAGGAGGCGGCGGCGGAGGAAGAGGAGGAGGAGGAGGAGGAGGAGGCGTCGGAGGAGGAGGAGGAGGAGAAAAAGGAGGAGGAAAAGGAGAAAGAAGGCGGCGATGTTTCTCAGAAGCCATCGCGCCTTCCGAGAAGCTAGCTGCGTGCTTTCGGAGAAGGCCTGGAGAGCTTCGCCGAAGGCAGCAGACCCTCCGAGCCTCCTGAGAAGGCCCGCCCCCCCTCCGCCTCAGTGGAGGCCCGTCCTCAGGAAACCTTTCACGAGAAACCCGACCCCTGAGACCCCAGGACGCCGATTGACAGTGTGAGAGCGTCACGCTTTCCATCGCAAAACCGTCGAATCCCAAGAAACCAAGGGCACCCTGGAGGCAGGCAAAGTGTTTCTTGGCATGGGTCTCCAATGTACGAGGAGGTGGAGGAGGAGGAGGAGGAGGAGGAGGGGAGGAGGAGGGGGAGGAGGGGGAGGAGGAGGAGGAGGAGGAGGAGGAGGAGGATGAGATGAGATGAGATGAGATGAGATGAGATGAGATGAGATGAGACGACTCCCAGGAACAGTCCGAGGAGAGAGGGGCCAGCCCGCAAAACTTGCGCGGGCGAGTGCACCTTCGGGGGGAAGATTTTGTGAGGCACTCGCGACGGGTGCACTGAGGAGGAGGAGGAGGAGGAGGAGGAGGAGGAGGAGGAGCAGGAGCAGGAGCAGGAGCAGGAGGAGGAGGAGGAGCAGCAGGAGGAGGAGGAGGAGGGAGGAGGAGGAGGAGGAGGAGAGAGGAGGAGGGAGGAGGAGGAGGAGGGAGGAGGAGGAGGAGGAGGAGGAGGAGGAGGAGGAGGAGGAGGAGGAGGAGGACCGTTCCTCCCCAGACCTCTCTCGGGGTTGCGCTCTGACCAGAATCTCGCCGCGAATCCAGCCGTGGCGACGGGGTCTCCCAGGAGGCCCCAGACGGTGAAGACGAGGGGAGGGCATCGGGAGCAGCACCTGCTCGTCCTCGGGTCCCCGCCGACTTCCAGCTGGCCCAAAGTCCACCCTGCCGTCGAGCGGGGCTCCCTCTGCCTTCCTCCCTGGGCTCGCCGCCGATGTTCAGCTAGCCTGGAGGTCTTCGGTGGCCACTCATGAAAGCATGCCGTGCTATCTTGCTGGCTCTTAAGATTCGACGCAAACCGACGCTAATCGAGGGCACATCGACGCAAGTCGACGCTAGATCTGCGCTCTCTCATGGACGACCTGACGCTGGGGCACGCTTGCGCACTCGAAAAGACGAGTTGCGAAGACGTACAAGGCTCACATGATCTGCCACCGAAGGAGTCCACTCTGCAGTCGAGCGGGCAAAAAAAAGGAGCGGCCGCCCGAGACGCGCCCTCCGCCGAACGGCGGCGGGGCGCAGAACGGCAGGAGCAGGGGCGGCGCGGGAGCTCCTACCGAGCAGGTGAACCGGCCACACCTGCGGAGAGCAGGAGGGGAGGGAGGGGGAGCACGGGGGGGGAATAGCACGGCATGGAATGGACGGACCCAAAGGGAAAGGGCACAGCCACCAAACGAAACGAGTCAGGACTGCTGAGCGGAGAGGAGTGGAGGGGGCACCGCTGGGGATACAGATGAGTTCACTTGTGTCAAGGAGCGCCCTGGGCTTCGGGACCCTCGAGCGTCGAGGCGACTGCTCGGCTCGACTCGGGACTCTGGGGGCCAAACCCCTCCCGATCCTGCCCAGGTCTTCTGGTACCAGTGTGAGACACCTCGCCCATGCAAGCACCTCGAAGGCAACGCAGAGCCATTTCTGCGATCGCCCCCCCCAAAAACACACACACACACTCAAGAGATGGGGGGGAGGAGAAAGGGGGGAAGGAGGGGAATCAGGAAGGAGGGGGGGAGGGAGGGGAGATGGAGGAGCAGGGGGGAGAAAGGGGAGAGGGGAGGGGGGGGGGGAGGGAGGGAGGAGGGGGGGAGGGAGGGAGCACAAGGGAGGGGGGAGGGAGTGAGGGAGAGAGGAGAAGGGGGGGAGAAAGGGGGGAGGAGAAGGGAAAGGGGGAGGGGAGGTGAGATGGGCGCAGGGAGGAGGACTGGGGGAGGAGGGGGTGGAGGGGGAGCGGCGAGATGTACTGGGGAGGGCCGGGGTGAGGGGGGGGAGACGGGCCGGTGGGGGGAGCAAGGACCGGGGAGGGACCGGAGATCCCTGGTCCCTCCCTCGAGGGAGGAGCGGGACTGGGGAGGAGGGGGGGAACGGGGGAGGAGAGGGTGTCTGGGGAGGGGGACCGGGGAGGAGAGGGGAGGGGCAGGGAGAGAGGTCCTGGGGAGGCGGGGCGAGGGGGCGGGGAGACGTGCCGGGAGGGGGGGGGGGACCGAGGGAGGGAGGAGGGGCGGGGGAGGTTCGCGCCGCAGGCCCCTTTCTCAAAGGCTTCTGGCGGTGGCGAGCCAGCAGCACGCTCTTGCGCAAATCCCTGTGACCTCCCTCCTCCTCTTCCTCCTCCTCCTCCTCCTACTGTGCCTCCCGCTCTCTTTACCCCCCCCCTCCTCCTTCACCTCTTGTACTTCCTCCTCCTCCTCCTCCTCCTCCTCCTCCTCCTCCTCCTCCTCCTACTCCTCCTCCTCCCCCTCATCCCTCTTTCCTGTCTTCTCACTCGTGTTCAATACATTGCCCTCCTCATCCATCGCATACGCAACCTTGTCCTACGTTCCCCATCTCCGGGTCTCCGTCCCCCTCATCCTCCTCTTCCCCCCGGCTTCTCCTGCTGCCCCTCATTCGCAACTTTATACCTTCCTGCCCTCTCCTCCCCCTCCCTCTTCTCCTACTCCTCGTGAACACATGCCCGATACTGTTCGGTTTTTGCTCGGTCAAAAGATGGTGCCCTCAATCGGAGAGCTAATGCTGGCGGGAGCCTGTCAGAAAGAGGATGGAATGCTCGTTGGCTCCGAAGCTCCGCTGGCGCTGGGAAGGTGGAGGAGGAGGATGAGGAGGAAGAGGAGGAAGAGGAGGAAGAGGAGGAGGAGGCGGAGAAAAGTGGAGGAGGCTCGGGAGGAGGAGGCGGAGGAGGAGGCGGGGGGGGAGAAGGCGGAGGAGGTGGAGAAAGAGGAAAGGGAGAATTGAAAGGGAGCGTGGGAGCAGGATGAAGAGCCTGAAGAGTGAAGCGTGGGGAGGAACAGGAGAAGAGGGAAGGGAGGAGCACGAAAGAGAAGGATAGATAAGAACCATCGGGGAGATTGAAAGAAGAAGGCGGTAACCAGTGGGATGACGAGCAGCAGAGGAGGCAGAGGAGGAGGAGGAGGAAATAGAAGGGACGATGGGGAGGGCGCAGAGGAGCATGAGGAAAAAGGGGGAGGTCAGAGAGGGCACGTGAGGATGGGGGCAGAAGGAAGATGAAGGCATTTGGAGAAATGGGCGGATAACAGCTACTGCCCGCCTCTTTCCTCGTCCGTCCGCAGCAGGGTGTAATCGTAGCCCCTGGCCGCGGGCCTCATCATCCTTCGCCGCTTCGTTATCCTCCTCCCTGCGCCCTCCGCTTGCCGCCCTCCCTCCCTTCCTTCCCCTCCTTTCTCCTCCCGCTTTTACCTCCATCCACCCTCCTTCGTCCTCCTACTCCGAAAATCGCAACGGTCATGTGGCTTAGGCCGTAGGCGGGCTCGCTGGAGGTAGTTGCGCCGTGTGCTGCTGGGACTGCACTGCTGGGACGTGCACGGCACATTCAGATCTGGCACGCGCCTCCCAGAAGCCCTGCCCACGCTCCCCTCCCAGCAGCAATAGCATCGCCACTCCAAAGGCAGCAGGGCCAGCCCAGTGGCGTCGCTCCTCATCACCATCCCTGCCATAACCAGGACCCTTCAATCGTCTACGATGGTCACCCTGGTCCTCCCACTCCACCCCATCCTCATCCTTGTCATTCCCATCCTTCCCATAATTACCCCGACCCCTCCTCATCATCCGCCTCATCCTTTTTCTCCTCCTCCTCCTCCTCCTCCTCCTTCCTACTCCTCCTCCTCTTTATCCTCCTTCTCCTGCTCCTGCTCCTGCTCCTGATCCTGCTCCTGCTCCTCCTCCTCCTCCTCCCCCTCTACCTGAATCGCCTCCTCCTCCTCCTTCCTGCTCCTCCCTTTCCGCCATATCTTCCCCGATCTCACTGCAATCTCCCCCCTCCGTCTTGCTCCCCCCCCTATTCTGATCCCAGCGATGCGGGCCATCCTCCTGGCGAGCGGTTAAAGGACGACTGAGTCCGCTGCATGGCCAGTGAGCGACGGCAGCAGGCGGCAGCTACTCGCTGGTAGCTCGCTCGGCCGAGGGTCGGGGACAGAGAGGTCGGCCTCGCACTGCCCTCGTGAGGAGGGAGGCGGGATGGCTGCTCCCCCTCCCACAGCACCTACCCCCCATTCCCTGTGGGAGGTGCTCGATCTACAAGTGGGCGAGGAACAGACGGGTGCCCCGCGCGAAATGGCGTAGCGACCGAACGCCGTGGCTTCCACGGGCCGCCAAAGCGCTGCACGGGCGTGGGCGTGAGCGTGGGCGTCGTGTGTCGTGCGTCCTGCGTCCTGCGTCGGCGTCGGCGTCGTGCGTGGTGCGTGGTGCGTCGTGCGTCGCGCGTCGGGCGGGGGCGTCGGACGTCGTTCGTCGTGCGTCGGGCGTCTTCGTCGTCGTCGTCGGGCGTCATCGTGGGCGTTGTCGTCGTCGTTGCCAAGGGAAGGGGGAGTTCTGGACCCCCCCAATGAGTTTCTAGGGGGGGGGGGGGGCAGGCACCCCCAAAACATTTTCCGAAGAGGGGACGTGATCCCGACCCCCTCCCCTGTTTTTTTTGCGGGGGGGGTGATGACCTCCTGCCAGCAGCGGCGGACAGTGCTTTTTTGGGGGGCGGAACAACTCTGTCCTGATTTTTCAATCAGTTGATGTGTGGGATTGCGGCTGGTCTGCCCGCAGTTAAACCTAGTCCCCCCCAAGGAGGGGCGGCGGGGGAGCGGGAGAAGGGTCAGGGGAGGAGGTCCAGGAAACGGAAGAGTCAAGGGGGAGAAGGAGGAGGAACTGTTGGCGGGGGGGACTTAGAATCTTAGTCGCAACGGCGATCCCGCCCAACGGCTCTGCAATGCACCAAGGAGGAGAAGGGGGAAGAAGGAGAACGAGGAGGAGCAGATCAGAGCAGACGCCTATCGGCACCAATATCCGCCTCGAGACCATGAACTCCCCAAGACAGACACACCTGCCGCGCTGCTCAGGCCTGCAGCCTGCCCGCTACTCACGAGGCTTGAGACGCCCGAACTTTGCCAGCGCATCAACCCTGGAGCCCGAGCACGCGGGCAGCTGCGCCTGCAAAGGAGCCTCCGGGCCCAATCTCACACGAAAGGCGCGGACCGTCTGGCTCCGGGTCAGGAGAGCGAGCTGAGAGGGAAACGGCTGGGGGGGATTGGCTCTTGGGGGGGGGGGGGGGGGAAACGGCGACCTGCAATCGGCGATGCATCGCCGATAGCTCGGGCCTCCGATGTAGAGAGAGAATCCGCACGCTCCCGGGCGGGGTAGGCCACCAGGCTGCCGTCGGTGATCAGTGGGCGATCGGGGGTCGATGCGTGCTCCCTTCGGCCCACCCTGACCCTGGTGGCTTTCGGCCACAACTCGGGCTGCCAAAGCGTCCGTTCGGGACGCTCCGGGCACCTCTCGGTGAGGAGCAGCCGCTGGGAGACGTCACGAGGCTGGAACACCGCCCAGAACCGACGATGACGTCCGATAACCTCCTGGCGACGAGCCTGACGGAATTGTGCATGCCATGACAGTGGACACTCGAACCGTTCTATCATTGAATTAAACA